CCACTCAGCCCCCCCCCACCCCACCCCCAGGCCCAACCCCGAAGCGTCCGAGGAAAGCCGCCGAGCTCATCGCGAAGCTCACCAAGAAGGGTATGTACGAGGTTGACGAAGACTTCCCCGATGACGAAGAGGAGTATTATTACTTTGTCGGCCAGGGCACCATGGTGCGCAAGGAGGACAAAACCAAGGAGAAGATGAAGTTGAAGATCAAAGACAACCCGGACAAGGACTTGGGAGAGGCCTTGCTGGAGACCGGCCCTCTAGCGGCAGGTGCCCTTCCAGGTGTTGGAGCGAGCGAAGCGGGAAGCAAGGCGGTGCTCGAGGCTTTGCATGGCGAAGTCACCAAGGCCAAAACGCCCAAGAAAACGGAGAAAAACAAGGAGGACACCGAGGCGTTGGCTACGAAGGAGTCGTGGGAGCATCCCGATTTATTGTAAATCTGGCCCTACTAGAATAAGGGGTGATAGTTATAGTTATAGTTATAGTTACAATAGACGAGCCCGCTTTTTCTTTTTAGATCGGTCAACACTGAATCCTAGGCTGGCCCAGGACAAGATGGACGAAATGCTTAAAGAGGCCAGCGAGGCACGCAAGTTCAGCATCTCTTTGGCCCACCTCGAGTACAGCGACGATTTGGTCAGCCAGATGAAGAAGCACAGTGTCAAACTCGAGAGAATCTATGCCAAAGTCCAAGATTTGAAGAAACGTGGTGTGAGAAACAACGCGAGCTTTGAGAAGTTCTACTCCATCTACGACTCTATGAGCCAGTGGTACAAGAAAGCCGAGGCCATTAACACGTTCGGGTCAGTGTCAATAATAGCTTTAAAGAACCCAGGAATTACCCAGTCGTGGTTATGTAGTTTGAACTTTAGAACCCGACCTTATCCAAACGAGCTTTGATTCTAAAGGTAGTTCTCCCCATAAACCCATATAACGTTGACCCCACTAGGTGGCTGCCAAAGCCCTTCAGTCGGGACTCAAGAAGAAGAAGGCCAAAAAAAAACAAGAAGGGTGAGCAAGGCACCCCAGCCAAGAGTGCCTAAAGGGCCTCCCGATGATGTGATCGCTCAGTGCCTTTTCATACAGGCCAGTTTTTGCTTGCAGCTCCTAGAGCGAAGGCACGCATGGTGCCAGCGCTGATTCGAGAACCGTTCGCATGGTTTGCGGAAAAATGTCGATGATTGGGGAGCTAGTTGCTGGCAGTTATCTCTCTATTCTAGTTCGTGCCTAGAAACCACACAAACCTCCAAGCATTAAGAATTAAGAACCATCCCTGCCTAAGCCCCACAACATACCTTTCGTTTCTGCCAATGTACGAAAGACTCCACGCGTACAAGTATGACTTTGAAGCCTTCAAACAATTCCAAACCGCTACTCGGTGTCTATCGACAAAACTATATCCAACCCACATTCTAAAGACCCCACGATTCCTCGGTGCCAGATCCTATACCATTGTATACCCGAACACCCCAACACTAAACCTTACACTCTCCAGACCCAGCCATTCCGCTCCTCCGAGGCCAGACCAGCGTCGCCGCATCCGCGACCACGTCCGCTTCGAGCCTCGCGAGGTTTCCGTTCAAGTGGGGTAAATGTTTGGAAGGAGCTCGGGGCTTTGGGTTCACGGGCTGACGCGAGGGTTTCGCAGGGTCGCTGTTTTCTTTAGACTTTAGAATTGTTTGGGATAGTATGGTTTGTTGGGTACAAATAAAACTCAGAGCCTGAGGTTATCAGGGTGTCAACCAAGGGCTAGCAGGACTAATGGGGCTTGAGTGCAAAGCTCAATCTAATGCCCAGCCTCAGTTTGTGTCTCGCATCCAGCCCTGAAAAATAAGTTGCGATTCAACCGAAACGCTACAATTCACAATGTCTTATATGGTCCTCATCAAATACAATCGTAAAAACCCCAGACCTCCAGACCCTAAATCCTAAACCCTAAACCCCAAGCCCCTAAACCGCGACGGCTACGTTCCTGTACTACAGATCATGCATTATACAGATCCATCGTCATATATTACGCGCCATTTGTGCTGAGGAGTGTTCGCAAGCGCAAATTCGAGGACATGCCAAGCAGCGAGGTGGCTGAAGAGTTCATACGTGTCCCGTCATATCACCCCGTCTAAGTCTATATGAAAGAGAGCGAGAGACGAGAGAGAGAGAGAGAGGCAACAATTATGCCTAAGTATATGGTTGTGGTAAAAGCACGTTTTCATATTTGCAATGTAAGCGGAAATAGATTGTTGTTCTACACACATAGATTATTATGGTGTTCTTCTATACACATTATTGGAGGTATGCTGGGCACTGGGCGAGCAATGGTGGCACAAATCGCCGATTTGGCTAGGGCTGCTGTTTCGGACGGGCTGCCGCAGGAAGCTGTAAAGGCTTTCGCTTCGCTGGGAGGGGAGGGCAAGCATCCTTCCAATCAAGAGCGCGATTTGCACAACTGGCGGAAGAAGCTGTTCGGTTTTGAACTAGAGACGTACAACGTCTTGATGGATGTGAATGCCTCTTGGGTGCAACAGCTTAGTCTCGCATTGGTAATTTAGTGACTGGCTCCGGGTTTTTCTCCCATTTCACGTTGTTCTCCCTACCTCTCCCTCCCTCTCTCTCTCTCTCTCTCTCTCTCTCTCTCTTTCTCTTTCTTTCTCTC